CAGAATTTAGGTAGGGTTATATCGGAGATCTGGATACTCCTTAGATCGTGTAAATACTGATGGGTTTTAGTCATAAGAACATCCTATGTGCTCATACAAACCCTAATGCTTGGATCTAGGTTTCTCTATTGTACATGAAATTAATCCAAGACTATAAACCCTACATCTAGCATATGATAATCGACATTAGCATAATAATGGGTTTAAGATATTACCTTGATTGTTATGTAGCAATAACAATCACAATTCCTTCTTGTAATGACTTTAGAAAGCTTAGAGTCACAAATGTCACTCCTCTAATGGTTCACAAACACCAAGAGTAAGATGATGAAGAAGAGAAGAGAAGGAGGCTGCCCAAAAATCATCCAAAACCCTAGAAGGAAGCTTCACCACATTTTTGGGGCTTAAGGGTGCTATTTATACATGTAGGCTATTAGGGATTTAAACCAGGAAACCCTAATCTGACTGCTTAAGCCCTAAGCAGCCAATGGATTCCTTTCCTTAAAGCCTTGGATGATTTCTTATGGGTTTCCCCATAGAATTCGTCCAACCCTATAATATAAGGTAATCCATAGCCCAATTGCAATTATCTTATAATTACAATTCCAGTCCCTTAAGTTTAATTAATCTCTTTTAGTCACAAACTTAATTCTTATTAATTCTTGACTAATATTAATTAAACAATATGATTTCTCCTTTAATATATTATTCCCATAATATATTAATAAATCATATTTAATCATTTCTCTCCATAATTCATCATATCAAGTTGCTTTGGTGAAGGCAACCCAAAAGGACTATGCACCATCGGGTCAAGTACATACCAAAATAGTTATGGACTTAGACACTAATCCAACAAATACTTTCTGAATTGATATTTCTACCCTATGCCCGAGTTATAAGAAATTCAACCTAGGATAATCCTAAGGGGACACTTACGAATCTAGGCACAGAAAATGTAAGCCAAATTGCTAGAGAATTCTAAGTTCGTATGAAGAAAAACGAGAGCTAAAAGGAGATCTGTTCTCCTTAAAATGAGAGTCGTTTATATAGAAAACGATATGTAGGCTTTTGTTTTAGGGTTGTCCATCATGGGTTCCTTTGGAAACAAGTCATGAGTATCCGAAATTATGACGAAATCAATGGTTTTCAAAACTGACGATCTTAATCAGTTTTACCATAATTACCATCAAGAATTTGATTTTTCCACTATGTACCATACTTACCATAATCTGGAAGTAATGAGCCCCTTGGACCCCGCTAGGGGCGCTACCCCTTTGGAAACCCCGAACCTAGGGGCAATGCCCCTAGGCCCCGACTTGTCGTCGAACCGGCTTCTAATATGATTATATACATGCATGCACTCCACACATACCCAAACATATATTATAGTACAGATTATGAAACCTCTTAGCTCACATGTAAGTTTCAATTATACAAAATGTTTTGCTGACAGTAAAATCACCAACAAAACAATCAGTGAACAATACTTTAAATGATATTCATTGATAACCTATTTATATGTTGTATTTTTATACGATAAAATGTGTTAGTTTTATATTAAAATTTTGTAACTAATATTCGTCGTGAACTTCACCAATATATCTCATACTGTCAAATATGGAGAAAGATAGAAAAGGGGAGTGAGATAATCTAATAGGTTTTATTTGGGGGTGGTGTAGGTTTTTGTATTTTTTTTATACTCCATTTCTTTTAAAATTATAATTAGCTAAAATAAAATACAAAATAAATTAAAATGGATATACTTGTCATTTTACATGTGTAAGTGACCAACCACACAATAAATAAAATCATAGTGTCCAAGTGTGTATCAACTATTATAGTTGTATCAAACTAGCATGTTTTGGACTAATCTATTGCTATCAAATAATGAAAAGCAAAAGCTTAGATGAAGTAAGGGTAGATACTTTGGTTGTGTTTGGTCTAGTAGTTGAAAAACTATTTTTTAACTTATAAGTCAATTTATCAATAAACTTATTCATGTAACTTATAAAAAAACCTAATTATAAGCTACAATAAATTACTTTTATAGTCTCACTAAAGACCATATTGCAATAAACTTAAAACACAAGTTAGCTTATACGTTAAACATAACATTAGGTTATCCACATTAGTGCAATGTCACTCATCTTTCAAGTGTACAACATCATCTTTACAATTATATCTCACATCAGTACAATAATACTAGTCTTTCAAAAATGAACCCCATCAATACCTCCATAATATATATATATATATATATATATATATATATATATATATATATATATATATATATATTCCTGAATCTAAATATTAATCATTTAAAATTATTAAAACATTGAATGTAATATGCTAATTATATAGTAACTTTGTTTCATTTAATATTGATATTTAAGTATGTAAATATCAAGTTGTGTAGTTAATATTAAAATACTCATAAATAATGAGTTGCAAGCTTTTCTATATTTGCAATGTGAGAACATATATTTAAGTATGTAAATATCAAGTTGTGTAGTCAATATTAAAATACTCATAAATAATGAGTTGCAAGCTTTTCTATATTTGCAATGTGAGAACACATGTGACAACTCCAGGTTACTTGCAAGGCTAATTGAAAGACGTATAATCGTTGTGGAGGTTCTTATATGCAATTTAGAATCATAACTCCAACATGTGAAAATACACAAGAGAATGTATTTTGTGAAAATAGTAATTTACTTTCCCATTGCACGAGATTGGTTGGTGGGGATGCCCACCTGTGGCAGATATCCATTTTTACTTTATATACCATACCATAATATCCTTTTATTCTTTATATCTCGTCCCCTCTTAAATAAAGGCATATCTCATTATTCAATTCACTTTTTATTTTATGTTATCTTTTTATCACTTTGTATCAAGTGGTTGCTCTAAGTAAAACATCGTTACAAGATCAGTAATCGTGATCTCCTCATGATTTGATTTAATTTTGAAGACTAGTTGAAAGTTGAAAATACAAGTGAAATAAATTGTATAAATGTAGTTTTAGATGCAAATGAAAATGGATAAACCCCACTAAGGTTTGGAAAAATGAAAGCCACGTTTTGGTTGTACTTTTGTGAACTTCAATATTTCTTTTTCTTGATTTCGATATGTATAATGTATACATCTAATCAATGATCTTTGTGAAAACTACCCGAGATGGTGTTGCCTCACCTTCCCCCAACCAATGTGACATTGAAATTCTTTAATTCTAATCATATATCCATTGCACATATTTCATGATAATGTGTTCTATTGCATGTCCTTCAAAAAATACATTGAGCATTTGAAGCATCTTAATATATGTTCTTATTAAGATGCATTTTAGTTATTTTACTGAAAGTAGACGTTTTCATTTAAGTATGTGTCAAATAAAACATACTGCTCTCATCATGAAAGAGCCAAAAAACATTACTTTATTTACAAAAGTTTCATAACCCTTTGTATAGACAATGTAACTACAAAGTAAAAGATTGTGTCTAGGCACATATGTCCCTTCAAGTATTGGATAAAAAGATCTATTATCAAAGATATGTTTTCCATGATATCTTTGAATAATCTTCTAGTATTATTTGCCAAAAGATATATTATTAAAAAATATTGTCCAACATCTTTTAAAAAAACATCCATGTTAAATTGCATTTCCACACATTCCATTGATTTTTCATTTTTCTATAGTCAAAATTTGCCTACTCACCTGCAAATGTTTATTGAAAGCTAGAAGGCATGCATTGATTGTTACATGCTTAAGCTGATTTAAAATCATCTTAATGTTTTGAGTTTTAATTCCATATTTCTAAGATGTGTCAATAAATACAAAAAGTCACTGTTTCATGTGTCTAGAAGGAAAGTTATTCAATATATTCACAGTTTTTGACTTTTGTATCCAATCATGTAAAAGCTAAAGGTGAATTTCTAAAAAAACATATCCTCTAAAGTTCAGGGGTTTTCTTTCTTTAACTTTTGTCACCAATTAAAAAATTCCGTAATTATTTTCAATACAACCTTATCCTGTTTCAAACAAAGAAAATGTGGTTAAAAAATGAAAAGGTTAAATAATTTTTTTCAATAAAAATATATGTACACGAGTTTTAAAAAATAAAGTATATACATGTTTTGTGCTCTTTGTTTTTTATATCATGTTTAATTTAATACAGAGTTCAAAAGAAATATTTATCTATTGATTGAATATCTAAACTATATCTCACATAACTTATACAAATATAAAGATATTAATTTAAAGTAGTGATCATGTTAAATTAATGATAAAATTAAAAAAGAACTGCTCGCATTTCTTTAATTGAATAATAGTTTTTATTTTTATTTTTTTTATGGGTATCATCAATTGGGAGTTATTGTTTTTGTTAGTGTTTGATATTCATTTATTCTATTGTCTGTTAATAATTAGGGTTAACTGTTACAACTATAATACAACCATATATTTTTCTATTAATTCATATAAAATATTTTTAACAATAAATATGTAACAAATTATTATTTTTAATTATTTAATCTAAATCTGCTGATCTTATGTCCTTTTTATATTACATAAAATAGTAATTTTTTATGCAAATAAGATAAAGAAATTATGCTATATAGATTAATAAAATAATCTAATTTTATTGCACTTTTTTACTATAAGCACTAATAACTGATTAACTATACTAAAAATTCAGAATCAGAATCTTATTTTTCCAATTTTGTTTTATTCTCGTTAAAAACATTTTGGAGATTTATTTATTAATAAACGTTTATTTCTTTAATAATTTGACTAGTCTAATCTTTTATTTTTATTTCTTTTAAGAAGGAGAAAACATTGCTTATATTGGGGAAGGAAGTTACGCATTTCATTTCTATATGAGATCAACTTTTGACAGCTTTGAGACTCGAAAGACGGAGAGAGAGAGAGGGAGAGAGAGAGAGAGGCGTTATACACATAGTAGCGGTTTTTGTGTGTGTGTGATCGCGAGATTAAGGGCTAGTTTATCGGAATTGATGTATTGATGAGATGTCAACAACGGAAAACAAATCTGTTGAGATCACTAAAGGCATCAATGGTCTAGACAAAGTCATACTTCGTGAAATCAACGGCAGTTCTGCAGAGGTATGTAGAATAATTCCATAAATTCTCTCAGATTTGCTCGCATGTTGTAATTTAACTCGTTATATTGTACTTGTTGGTAGATGTTATGTCAGAGCATTGCTGATTGATTTGATCTTTACTCATAATGAAAATGATCTGAATTACGAAACCGTATATCTTGTTTTAGGTTAGATTTGTTGTTCTCTGCAATGGAATCTAGCGGCATATGAACGTTTCTTGCCTTATCTGAAATTTTTTGTTTGAATTCATAAATTTCATTCACATTTTTTGTAGTCTGTAAGTTTCTTCGTCTCCTGCGATGACAACTGTGGAGATCGTTACAATCTCTTATGTTACGGCGTATATACGAATCTGTAAAACTAAACTTTGATCTCGAACGAGATCGTGGATTGCAGATTAAAAGCTAGTGATTAGCACACGTTATTTTGTGCATTTTATGGAATCGCTCTCCACGATAAGATTTGCATGTAAGATAACAATATAATCTATTGAAGAGATCTTATCTGGTTACAAAATCCGTTTAGGATTGCTCCTTTGACGCATATTGACTTTTACAAAGGAGTTGGTAGTTGAGCCCCACATAAATGTTTATGTTCCATTTTTGAAGAATTGGAACCTTTCCTTGCTATTAGTGCTCAGTACACCTTTTAAGATTATTTAATTTATAATAGTTGACATAAACTCCTGTATTAGTCTAAATGTAAACACTAAACAGATCATGCAGTTTATGCCAGATCTGTTACTTATGAACAAAGAGAGTTATTTGTGTCAAATTAATCAACTTATAAGTAGTTTTTGGTAAATTTATATGGAGACTGCATTTGACAATCATACTTGTAATGCTTTGTTAGCAGGAAAATACAATGAACTATTATGGTGTCATACTTGACTATCATGTATTCATATAACATAAGTTACAGAGTTAGTGATCTAAGAAGCATCTAGCAGACTAGTGAGTAGGAACTAGTAACCAATTTTAATTTGACATAGTCATTGTGGAATACGTGAACTATATTTCATGGCTTTCATTTATACTTTGTGGAGCCAAAAGGGGAACTGCAACACATTATATTACACCTGTTTGTTTGTGCCTTCAAACACTAAGGCCATTACAATGTTTTTTTATCAGAATTATCTTTGGCAATCGTGGATCTCTGTTTGAAATTCTGTTGCCTACTATGTAATAACCATTTCAATGTTATTAATATTCTATTATTGTAGGTATATCTGTATGGAGGTCATGTGACATCTTGGAAAAATGAACATGGAGAAGAGTTGCTTTTTGTCAGTAGTAAGGTACCAGCTATCCCTAAATTCTCTTTTGATGAATGCTTTCACACTCCTCTTTATACTCTTCAATTGGATGTGGTTTTTACCTTGTTTTCAATAACCCAGAAATGCATGTATTTTTGCAGGCAATCTTTAAGCCTCCAAAGGCAATACGTGGGGGTATTCCTTTATGCTTTCCACAAGTATGTGCCTCTATCTTTCTTCTGTTTAATACACTATTTTTGTATTCATTCTACTCATGGTAACCTGCTTCCTTGATGCAGTTCTCAAATCTAGGAACTCTTGAAGCACATGGATTTGCTAGAAATAGAGTTTGGACTGTAGACATTGATCCACCTCCTTTTCCATCCAATACCACCAATAGAGTTTTTGTTGATTTGCTACTTAAGCCCACTGAAGAGGATCTGAAGATATGGCCTCACAGGCACATTGTTTATTCTGTTTTCTTTTATCTTATATACTTTGTGCTTTATCTTTCTCATAAATAATTTATTAAATTTTTATTTTCATTTGTAGCTTTGAGTATCGACTGAGGGTTACTCTAGGACCTGCTGGAGACTTGATGTTGACATCCCGGATCAGAAATACAAATACTGATGGAAAGCCATTTACTTTTACATTTGCATATCACACCTATTTCTCTGTTTCTGATATCAGGTAAATTAGTTTAACACCTTTTCACTTGATATTTAGGGCTAAATATCTATATTAGTATCAAGGGAAATTTGTAGGAAACACCAACTTACTTTATTTTTTCCAGATACTAGCAATTTATTTTTGTTTCTTTAACAACTAGCAATTCGTTATTCATATTAGCTATGTACTTAAATTTCTTTAGCCATAATAGTTATATGTAACAAATAAAGTACATTGTCCATATAGATAACTAAACATAATTACAATGTTATTGTGGGTAAAAGTATATAAGTATATTTCTATTATAGGTAATAAATAAAGTATATTCCTATCCATGGTAAAGAAATGTAAGAATGTTCCTATTATGGGTGAAAAATGAAGTACATTTCCTGTATTAATGATCGTAAGTAAAGTATGTTGCTCTATTCCCCACATGTTAATATTTTTGTTTTGACAGTGAAGTTCGAGTAGAAGGATTGGAGACACTTGATTTTCTTGACAATATGAAGAACAGGGAAAGATATACTGAACAGGGGGATGCAATCACCTTTGAATCAGAGGTACATATATATATATTAAAAAAAAAAAAAAAAAACTCTTATCTCACTTTTCAATTGCTTTCCCATCAATGTTTAGTCTCATCATGTACTGTTAATTTGTAGGTTGACAGGATTTATCTGAGCACACCAACAAAGATTGCAATTCTGGATCATGAAAAGAAACGCACATTTGTCATTCGCAAAGATGGACTTCCTGATGCTGGTGATTTTTAATTGTTGTTTAAATTTTAGAATTTTTGTTGATACACATACACCGACTGAGTATTTGTTTTCAACATCAGTGGTGTGGAATCCATGGGATAAGAAGGCAAAATCCATGACTGATTTTGGAGATGATGAGTACAAACACATGCTTTGTGTAGAGGCAGCAGCAATTGAAAAGCCAATTACATTGAAGCCTGGTGAAGAGTGGAAAGTAAGGCAAGAACTGTCAGCTGTTCCTTCAAGCTATTGCAGTGGGCAGCTTGATCCTAATAAAGTTCTCCAGAGTAGTTGAAGAAACATTTTGGCTCATCAATATCATGTACAGGTATAACTTAGGCTTTCTTTGCTTTGTTATATAAACACCTTTCACGTTGTTTAAATATATGCTGTATGTGTTTCATTTACAAAAATAAACACCATTCCTTTTAAAGAACAGAAAAAAAAAAACCTTGCACATGGAATGAAAATCTGAGGCTTTTTTTTTTAATCTGTGTAATGCAGGATTGTGTTGTGGTGAAAGAAAGCAAGGCTAATGCCAGGTGATCTGTGAGTCCTATTTTTCTTGTGTAAAATTTTCAATGCATTGGTTAAAATGGTTGAACTCTTTCTTTTGAGCAGAGAAGTTGTCAAAAAGATACTTATATTTTGTTCACTTCACTAAAAGTTACTTACTGAATTGTAATGGAAATGCCAGACCTATATAATATTGGCAATAAAGCATAAAGAGATATCTGGTCTAAAAGATCATGTTCTGTGGTTTTCATATAAAAATGCCATGTATTTTGTTAGTCTTATTCTACCATTTTTCATCATATCACCTTCTATTCCAACCATGTGAGCTTTGATAGTTTTATTCTATCATTGACCACGATTGTTTCTGTTGACCACTAGACAGAGTAAAAAAAAAGTAGTTTAGTGATGGGTTCGTGTATAAATCTTACATTAAATTCTTTTACTTTTACAAAATCCAATTTCATTAAATACTAAAATCACAACAGCTTGGAGAGTTTTGCTAGTTGCCATCTTGGTCTTTTGATCTGCATGACTGCGTATAATTTGTATGAGTGCAAGTATGATGCAACGAATTAGGAGTTTTCTTGCCTTTTGGGTATTATAATAAAAGACTTTAGAACGAATTGTGGACGCCAGAGTATTAATAGCTTATTATTTAATGAATTCTAGTCTAGGTTAGATATATAGCATATGTTTTAGATTTAATCTACAACATATGCTATATATCTAAAGATTAAGTAGATATACTCGTAACTCTAATAAGCATCTGTGTAGTCAGTATTGCTAAACTTTAGATTTATTATGTTGTGGCATTTGTGATGGATTGAAAGGTACCGTGATGTGATCTAGATGAAAAAAAAAAAAAAAAAAAAAAAAAAAGCCCAAATAGCCTCGACTGTCTAGTTGCACTTGCGCAACTTACTTTTAACAATAGTCGTTGTGAACAGTTTATCTAATTTTGACATGAAGGCCCATAGAAATTAAATAATAATAACAATAATAAAACACTTCACCGGTTCACCCATAACTTGTGTCTCAAATTTGTTTGGATGGTTCATAGTCTACAAGACACCGGATTCAAATAATCTTATAGTATACCTATGTTTCAAAAAAAGATAAAGGAAAAAGGTTTGCTTATATTTATTTTTTATAATATATTTTGTTTATCTAAAGTACAATGGGAAGATTTTATAAACCAAAACCTAGCAAGAGTAGGGATGAAAACTAGTCCAAATTTGAACTGAATGGGACTGAACTGGAAACTGGAGAACGCAATTTAATAGAATTGGAAACCGCGCTAGTATATAGGAACCCGTTTTGGTTCGGTTCCGGATATAAGATAGTTAAGTGGATCTAGAACCAGAAAATTTAGCAATGTCAAAGTGGATAGTTTGGAATCGGGTAAATGAATGTAGAACAAAAAACGGGTAATTGTAATATGTTAAACTTTTAAACATTGCATAACTTATTTGTTTGAAGTCGGATTGACATCAAATTATTTTCAGCATGTAGTTTATAGTTTTTACTTCAGTTCATGCTATAATTTCATTATTTATTGCTTCATATTGAACGATATATAGTTTCTATTCCAATTTAGGCTATAAATTCATCACTTTTGACATGAGATATTTTCCAGCATGTAGTTTATAGTTTCTATTCCAATTTAGGCTATAAATTCATCACTTTTGATTCCATTTTGAATGTGTTACAGTTCCTTGAAGTTAGGATATCAAAACTAAAAGTTTTTATTTTTTTTTTATTTTTAGTTTTTCAACTTTTATGTGTAATCTGTAACAGGACTTAGAAAAAAACATCAAAGTATATGATTAGAAAGTTTGTCCAAGGAAAATGATGTTTAAGAGTAAAATTACCAACCCACTAATCTAACCAAATAGTGGAAATATATCTATTAGCTAAAGGCTAATAATCATGTACGCTAAGCGTACAAGCTAAATGGTGCGTACGCTGGGCGTACCTGCATGTACGCTCATCGTACTCTCCTGTTATGTCATTTTCCCATTAAGTGCTTAATACTCTATTCCAGAAGCTACAATCACAGATCCAAGTCCTTTTCAACGTCTTAATCCATAAAGTCACTGACTTGGTGACTTTGTATAACCCTAATAAGCCCAAACTCCAGAATAGTATTCCATTCCCATAGAGATGATCTTAACTCATGCATGAACCCAATAAGACATTCAAGATGACAATTTTCAGCCTTAAGGACTCATTTTGAACTGAGAGTGGCAACTCCAAGTCTAGAAATTGGGTTTGAACCATAAAGTTCTTTACTTGGGACCAAAGGATATCAAAACCACACTACACTAGATCTAAGCATTCTTGAGGAAAGTTATGACCTTTATACCTCCAAATGATCTGAAATGGAACCCCAAACTCGGATCTAGTGCTTCTCCTTTGATCCACCACCTTGCTATACTCCTCTCTTGTTTGGAAAATGGCCTCACAACACTAAGATGCTCTATAATGGCCTTCTAAGCTCCAAGAACACTCAATGGAGGATTAGGGTTTTGTGGTTACTATCTTAGGATGAGAGGGAGGTTGATCCTTAAAGCATTATGTTCTTTATATAGTGACATAGTACGATGGGCGTACACCTCTTCGCACCCGCGACCATATGACATTATACGCTGGGCGTAACCCAGCTTACACTGTGTCACACCCCCAAACCAAGGATGGCGGAAACGTCCGGGGGTGGAGGACTTCATGTATAGTATCATAACCACAATTTCAATAGTAATTTAAGCAAACACAACCAACATATATATAATTGAAAAAGTTACATCACTTGTATGAATTACATGTTTCAAAATCAATTACAATATGTTGACAAAATATGAAAAGTTTGACGTCTTAACGTCCCATCCTCAAAAGCACTTGATTACCTGTTTAGTGTTTTTCTGAGAATACGAGTTGTTTGAAAAGTGTCAACACAAAGGTTGGTGAGTTCATAAGCTTTTATTAATAAACTTAGTAGAAGTCTATCACATGTAAATGTCGCGTTTGTGTCAGAAAAATCCAATATTTTCCTTGAAATCCGAAAAAAAAATGTAGCCTTATAACCAAAGACTAAAATGTATAAGAAATCATCATTTCTTAGTAGAAACGTCGTGAGTTTAAAATGATATGGAAAGTAAATTTCTTTATCAATCTAAAACCTACTTCGGTTTTATGAAACCCCGTAAACTTTATGAATTGTTATCTCCCTAGGTGAGTCGCTATAATCATACTGTGACTATGTGAACCTGCCACAACGTTTCTCAGGCGTTGCGAAAATGTAATGACATTTGTCACCCGTAGACCTGCAGGTCCCACTGTAGCTAGCAGCAAGGTGTGGGGTGTCAAACCCAATATAGATCTATATACAAGCATCACGTTCTCCCTCAAGGAGATTTTGATTATAACTACCAGGAATTATATCCCGCACTCGGACGTACGGGGAGAGAGAGTGTCTCACAACATAGGTTAACAAGTTTACGTGAAATGTGTGTGGATATAAATCTTTCTTGTATGAATGTACCCTTTTTGTACGAGTGTGTTGAGTGATGTATCATAAACTATACCTATTATAGTTTATCTAAAATGTATATAATATGTATGAATTCTTTTTATGGAAATGTATTAGTGTTGTGAATTTATCCAACTATACTTTTTATAGTTACATAATACGTGTTCTAAATGAATGAATAATATTTAATATGAATAACTTAGTTTCAGTTCACAATGATAAACTAACAAGGAAACACATTCAAATATTAGAACTTATGATTATACACTTTGCTCAACATATTACAAAGTGTTATGATATTTACATGCTGTTGGCTAACTTTAGCAATTCTGCCCAGTTTTGTAAAAATCATAGAAAAATCATACGAAGTCGAAAACTAGATCCGTAAATTTTGAGAGTTCACAAAATGTGTCTAGTTTACTCATAATTTTTATCACGATTTTTAATGACCTCCAACTTGTGTGAAAATGTCCATAATCACAGACTGGTCCGGATTGTTGTTTAAAATGATAGGCAGTTTTGTAAAAATCACCATAAATTGTAGAAAAATCGTATGGAGATGTGCAAGTAGTCATTTTAAAGCTACAAACTTGAACTATTTTCACCTTGTACAGTTTTGAAAACAAAAATGTTTAATATGCCCAAAATAGTCCGTGAATGGAGTTGAACTTTTCTGATGAAGGCTGTTAGAAAATTTTAATTATGTTCTTAGTGTTTTAACTTGTATTCCCCCCCTGAAAACTTGAGAAAACATGAAAATGTAGGGGTATGAACTCACCTTAAGTGATTTCAGTAGGTAAGTGTTGAAGAAGATAAGTGTTCAACCCAAGAACACTTGAAGAATCACTTGAAGATTCGAAGATCTAACACAATTATGAGAGAGTATGTGTAAGATATCCATGATTTGAGTGGAAATAATTGAGATAATCATAAAGAGAATGGATTATGCTTACCAAATGTGGAGGAAAAACTCAAGATCAGCCCTTGAATCTCGAATTTCTAGAGAGAGAAAGTGAGAGAGGAAAGAGTTTGATCTTCTTGTGAAATGAGAGCAAATGAGAGAAGTGAGGAGAGAGGATGAATATTCAGCCCTCAAAAAAGTGGGAAAGAGGGATAATTGAGTGGAAAAGACATTGATGTGACCTAGGTAAGGTGGGGGGTGTGGCTGGTCATAGAGTGGGTGTGGGAGTGGTTGCTTGTGTTATAAGGTAAAGCAAAGTCAACACTCCACCTCTTTGTACTTTACCCACTTGCTTTTATTATTTAAATAAAGATTTTTATGAAAATATGATTAAATTGTGAATATTTAGGGTTTATTATGTTAAAATATGATTGTTACGTCATAAAATTTCCAACCAAAAATTTTCATTTTTACAACCATTGAGACATGAGTAATTAATTTAGATTTCCAAAATAACGTCGTAGTCTCCAACGATTACATAACAAAAATAAAATAGTTTTCCCCGAGTGTGTGTACGATCACGCTGGCGCCTTCCCACAGTCCTCACTCGCACCTGAAACACATAAGCAACAACTGTAAGCATAAAGCTTAGTGAGTTCCCAAAATACAACATACGCACATACGCCTTTCCAGGCCTTGACCTTCCGGTCCATGTATTTCA